TAAAAAAATTAGCCGTCCATCCCTTCGATAATTTTCATCAGCCGTTCATCCATTCAACCTAATCTGTTCGAAAATTTTAATTAGCCGTTCATCCGTTCGACCTTGTCCGTTCGAAAATTTTAATTAGCCATTCATCCGTTCAACCTCGTCCGTTCGAAAATTTTCACTAGCCGTTCATCCATTTGACCTCATCCATTCGAAAATTTTAATTGGCCATTCATCCGTTCACAGTATCCGTTTCGAACGGCTTTCCTTGCCATTCATCACCCATTCGCTTGCCGTTCCGTTCACTGTTTGAACGGCTACCGTTAGGAACGTTTTCATGTGAGAGGTCACATGTGTAGCTGTATGCTTGCAATACAATAAAACTCTTGTGTGCTAAAATTCAAACGTAAGCTATCAAGCAACATTTAACTTTCATGTTATAATGTTTGTTTATGTTGATTCTGCAAATTGAAATTAATTCAAAGATTTCTACTCAATTTTGACTTAACACTCTTGGGATTGAAGGACCTAATTACAGTTGAATAATTGAGTTTTGAATTACAATCTTGTAACTAACAATAAATTGTAATGAAGTTATCCTTAACTGTAGACTAAACAGCTGTTTGCCTTTTTTTGCTGGGCTCGCAGCTTGTCAAACGTGACTAAAATAATCCTGAAACCTTCAGCTTGTTGATAGATTTCTTTCATCGTAAAGCGTAAGCTTAAGAAATTGTGGCATGCAAGGGACCAATTCGATTCTCAATTTTGATCACATACCGAATATCACAATTTGTACTCGCCACAAACTTTCAAAATTGAAGCTTTATAAATAGCCGTTTGACCCTTGTACCGGCCAATCAATATGTGAACTGTTGTCCCTTCCTTTAACTCCACAGCGCCAATGACTTGCTCTCCATTTGTACCACTCACGCTGTTCTCTTTTAAGTCTTAATTCTAAATTGTACATATGTTTAAGTATTTTATTTTTTCGTAACTATTGTTTGCACGACCCCACCAGCAATGCTGATTTTACTTATCGTGCTAAAATAAAGTTCTCACTCACTCACTCGTTTTCCCATTGAACAACAATAAAACCCATCTTTAGAGACCTTGTATTAATAAGCAAATCACGAGCATGAGTGATCAACCGATGAAAAGTTTCTTCAAAGCTGAGTGCCAAATGGAGTTTTCTTTGTTTCCGATCACGAGTATGATCACGTGGATATTTTGGGAATTGCCATTGGCTCATAAATAGAATCCACTGGCTTGCCTGATTGCAGTCTCAACAGAAGCGCGCAAAAGTTGCTGATTTCTTTGACCCCTACTCTGCGTTTTGGGTTTTGAAGATGATATGAATAATAATGTGAACTCACTCTATGTAGAAATAATCGAGAAGAATCGAACGTACTACAAGTAAATGATTTGAGGCCAAAAGTTATCGAGGAAACAAAGACTTGAAACCCTGACGCGAGCCCTTTGCTTGTACTGAACTAGCAGTGTTGCCAACGGTTTACGGTCACCTCGCCACCAACCAAGTCGCCACCATGAAATGACCTCAACACCAGCCAACTCGCCACCAAGCAAAGTCTTCTCGCTACCAACGATGCACTTAATGAATCTAACACTAAATCAACGGTTGTGTGTAATGGGTATCCGGTCAGATCATTCCGAAAAAAAAGGATTCTTTTTATTTTGCTTTTCTCGCACCCTTAGGCCTGGTTCAGACGCTGAACTTTTCATGAGCCAAACTCAATTCAAATTTGGACCGACCCAAATTATTTTTGCAAAATATATTATAACAACTTATGCATTTGGATCGGCACATGACAAGTACAGCATCTCAATCAAAGACATTCCGAATTAGGTTCGGCTCATGAAAAGATCGGCTCAATTGTAAAGGATCTCAAATCTAAAAGAGCCGTTGGCTCGTTAAGGAGACGTTTTTAAGAATGTCACGGTTCAGCATCTGGCAGAAGGGCCATTGATGAAGTTACACAACTTTAGAAGGCAGCGGGCTGAAATCACATGGGCATTGTGGTCCTCCCAGTACTTGAAAATCTTGCACTGCAACAGGCGGGACAGCTTGCTGTCAGACACAAGCTGAATCTGGATTGATTTAGTGTTAGATTTATTAAGTGCATCGTTTGTGGCGAGAAGACTTTGCTTGGTGGCGAGTTGGCTGGTGGCGAGGTTGTTTTGTGGTGGCGACTTGGTTCGTGGTGAGACTCCCTGGTGGCAAGGTGATCGGTTTCCTTGCCAACAGAGTCATGTTCGTCTCAACGAAGAAACATTTGTACAAGAGAAGGAACCAACTATGATGCGTTGGAATTCTCACCTACAAATGGATGTGCACATTCCTAAGCATTCCCATGTTTATGATTATGTTTGTTTTATGATTTTGGCACTGATCTGTGGACAAGTGACATTTTGCATCACAATGAAAACTTTTACAATTATAGAATCCAAGAGGCCTTTCAGGTTAGAAAGCAAATCTATTATTGACAATGAGCAATTAACACAACTGACCACTACATTATGAAAAAATGCCTATTTATGTTAAGAATTACTAAAACTTAGTTTGAATAGTAAATTTCATGATAAACATATATATACATGTATATCTCTTGGTACATTTTGTAGAGCATACCTTTTATTGAACCAAAGTTTTAAGCCTCTAAAATTACTCCTTGTCTTAAAATCTTTACATTCAAGATATTGAGAATTTCTTGGAATTATTTGATTGCCGTTCATGGGGCATGAAGTTAATTCTGGTGACTTTCTGAGGAAACTATTAGGTCATAGACCACTTTCATAAATGGCTGCCGGATTAATATTCTTTTGTTTAAATTTAAATTAGCCATACTGGCCTCGTTCTCCAGTACAAAATTCAAAAGAATACATTATCTCAAGCGAGGCCAGTAGGGCTAATTTCAATTTAAACAAAAGAATATTTATACGGCAGCCATTTATGAAAGTGGTCTATGAAAGTAGACTTTAAAGAAATTCATGGGTCATGAAAGTAGGCTTTTAAAGAAATTAATGGGTCATGGAATTCATTCTGGTGACTCTCAGGGGAAATTAATGGTTCGTGAAAGTAGACTTAAAGAAATTCATGGGTTATGAAAGAAGAGTAAAAGAAATTCATGGGTCATGAAAGTAGACTTAGAGAAATTCATGCGTCATGAAAGTAGGCTTTTAAAGAAATTAATGAGTCATGGAATTCATTGTAATCCTTCGCTTTGGC